TTTTTTTCGTTTTCTTTGGCCTGTTTCTTTTTTGGGAAAACTTGTCTGGCGCCCTTGTAATTTTCATTATTTTGTGTCGCGCCCCTCCGACGGCCCACTTACCCTGTCGTGCCCCTGAGGCCCTGTCTCTTATACACATCTAGATGTGTATAAGATCTCTCTCTCTCTCTCTCTCTCTCTCTCTCTCTCTCCCCCCCCCCCCCCCCCCCCCCTCCCCCCCCCCCCCCCCCCCCCCCCCCCCCCTCTCCCTGGTTCTTTGTGGCTTCTGGATGGCTTGCCTGTTGTTCTTGGACCGGTGGGTACTTGGCACTGGCAGCGTCGATTGCTGCTTTCGAATGTTACTTACTGCATGTGTCGGGCCTGACTGCTCGAACACTGGGCCCGGTGGCAATGACGCCCCAGTGTTCGAACAGTGCGACCGTTTCTTGGCGGTCTTTCGAGTTTTTTTTTTTTTTTTACAGTTGGTCTTTTTTTTCTTTTTTTTTTCACAGTTCTACCATTATCGGACTTATGCCTGCCATCCTTGCGCCTGGGCCTACACGGACACTGGGTACCGGTCTTTTTTGGGGGCTCGTCTTCAGAAGTTGATACCCAGTATCCATAGTATAATGCACGTGTGTTGTAAACGAATACAACGCACTCCGTGCGTTGTATTCGTTATTAACGCACGTGTGTTTTGTTCGGGCGAAGACTGCACGGTCTGTGGTGGGAGAGTAGAGGGCATGAGTCAGTGGTTGGTTTGGTGGGTTCCAACTGGTGATGATGATTGGCGTCTCGCTGATAAGTACCCCACCTTAAATATACAGTTAGGTCTGTGGTGGGAGACTAGAGGGCGTGAGTTACTGGTCGGTCAACGTAGGGGCTAATAGGTGATTGCTTGAGCCTGGTGTCCGAAGTTCCAGTACGATGAGGCCCGTTCGACTATGCTTCCACTAGGGCTGGGCCGCTAGCCCTGGTGCACGTCACTACTGTTCGGTCCAAATTCCACTCGATACTGGTAGAGTGATGGTCCAGAGTGCTGGTCACACGGAGGTAGGATAGTAGGGATAGGGAATGCGCTAGGAGTGTTGACGTGAGGATTGGGATGGGAGGTGGCCTCGTCTCCTCAGGGCGACCACGGCTGACCGCTTCCGGCGATCAATGTGTAGCTAGTAACTGGCCTCTACAACAAGGACTTCAAAAAAAAAAAGAAAGAAAAAAAAAAGAAGATATCAGCATCCCCCTATAATGGTCCTGCCTATTAGTGGGCAGTGGCACCTACTGGAAACTGGGTCCAGCGTCCCATGAAGATCGTGAGAGCACCGGCGGGGACCCCACACACACACACTTTCGGAGCTGTGTATAGCGAACATGACAAGACATAAACACAGCACAATCACTATATTACCCTTCCCCAGCCACATCAACAAACAAACTACGGGCTGCGCACCCGTGCCCTCATGGTAATTCAATTTAGGACCGTGGCCGATATATGGGAAAGGTACTGGCGGTTTGATCGTCTTTCTCATCTGACAGGATTGCACTCTCTTTGGACTGCCCCCTCTCTTCTTTTGGCCCTTGCATCGCTTTCCCCTTCCTTTCGCGTAGAAATAAATGTAGGGGATTTTAGTTCCAACCTGGGACTCCTCGACATTGCCCAAAAAACCCTTGGCACACCCGCTTAATGCACTTTGGGCCGGTTTCCGAATCTGATCAGAAAAGCAGTGCTGGCTGCGAGGTTCGGCACACCATCAACATACTTGTCTGACCCCTTCGCTTGGAACAATTTGGCGCGAGCTGACCTCAGCTGGTTTGGTTTACAGAAGGTATGCGTTGTATTGAAGGAAGGCTGGTATGAAATTGGCTAAGCGTGGGGATTGGGGAGAATGCAGCCCAAGGGCCCCAATCTTTTTGGGGGGGTGAGTATGTTCACGTCACAATCCATGTTCGACATGGGCAAAAAGAACGTGTAACGACATCCGCCCCTCACCCGCCGAGTTCAAAAAGGCAATAAACGAGACGCAGCACTTTGTAATAAGCACGGATAACATAACTACAGGGGTGCGCCAGCCTCATTATATGGCCTGAGTTCGAAGAATGCGAGGGGGGGGGAATTAAGCTATTTTTGGGATCTTTGCCATTTCGAACTCAATTAGTGACAAAACTGTCGGTAAGTGTTTTTTTCTGCCCGTTTCAAAGTAAAAATGTGACTCGTTTTTTTTTATTTATTTATTTTATAATACCACAAGGCTCCGATCTATTCGTGGGGAGCATCACATGCTGAGAACCGGGCAATTCATAAAAGTAAAAATGTGACTCAGATGCAGTTATGTCCTTTTTTTCCTCTGAGAGAGAGAGAGAGAGAGAGAGAGAGAGAGAGAGAGAGAGAGAGAGAGAGAGAGAGAGGAGGTTTATTGCAATGTATGACGAGAGGGAAAGAGAGAGAACTTCAAGTTGTCCCCACAAACTGGCACAAACTGATTTGACAAAATTGCATGTACGGGCCTCAACTAACTCTCGCCCACCGCTTCCATGTTCTTTTTTTTTTTCATGTTCTTTTTGAAGTAGTGGTTCTGCAAAAAAGGCCAGCCTTGTGGGACAATGCTGCACTGCAATAAGACCATAGCCTTGGGGCTGCGAACTCTTGATGAGGCAGTCAAATCCCCCTCAGGGGCCTCTCTGTCATTCATTGGGTTTGGGGCCTCTCTGTCCTTCATTGGGTTTTCGGATCCAGTTATGGGTCTGCTGAGTAGCGATGAGCCTTGTCGTAAGGTCAGGGCTCACTGAAATGGTCCAAACAAATCGGCATGCAAGTCTACCTCGTCTGGGCAAGAGGCTCTAGGCCTGCCTCGTTGAGAATATTTGGGTTGCGCCTTGGAAAATTGGGATCAGCAGCCATTCATTGGGTCAAGAATGAAGTTCAGCTGAATCGGGGTCGGGAACTGGTTGTCAAAGCAGGCCAGGACTTTGCCTCTTGGTCTGATCGAAGCCAAAAGGCAGCGGCTATTTCGGGCTGGCGAAATCGCATAGACAGGAACTCGTCTATTCACAAAAAGATACCAGGCCAAGTGATCCTCCTAAAAATAGCTTATCAGAGGAAAGGGTTCCCCGTGAAACTTTTTCTGAGGATTCTGGAAAAATGTTCGAAAAAGAAGGGCCTGATTTGGAAACTGACCGCCCGTCTCCTGCGACTATTTGCCGTATGAAGGTTTGAGTAGGATGGTTTTCGACTAGTCGGAGTAGGTATTAATAGTTTTCATTCGTAGTTTACGGTCCTCTCACTTGGCAGACTTGCCTTTTAGTCGTCTCCAGCTGGCTTTGTGCGCTGGCGACGACTACCGCCACGTTTTGTCGGCAAGATTGGTGGTTCTTGGGGTTGTCGGTGCGAAGGTGGGGCGACGGGATGGGACGTGTATGACGATACTTTGTCATATTTGGCATCGCGCTTTGCGGGTTCTGCTCCTCCTTGAGTGACCTTGTGCATGTCGCGTTGTGTGAATGTGCACCCCGTTTTTGCCCCTGCGCAAGCGCTCGATAACCGCCGAAGTGTTGCTGCTCTGCTTGGAGGTCGACATTCGCCTATGGTACTGTGATGAGTCAGAGATAACT